TTAGCCCATTTACATTCAGAGTAATTATTGAAAGATATGAATTTAGTGCCATTGCGTTACCTGTAAAGTCATTGTTTCTGTATATTGTCTTTGTTCCTTTCTGTTCTATGTTACTTTTGGGCTCTGTCTTCACATAAAGGATCCCTTTTAATATTTCTTGTAGGATTCGTTTGGTGATCACAAATTCTTTTGGTTTTTGTTTGTCCTGGAAGCTTTTTCTCTCCTTCTATTTTGAATGATATCATAGCTGGATAAAGTATTCTTGGCTGCATATTTTTCTCATTTAACACCCTGAATATATCATGCCAGTCCTTTCTGGCCTGCCAGGTCTCTATGGATAGGTCCGCTGCCAGTCTAATATTTCTACCCTTGTAGGTTACAGACCTCTCGTCCAGAACTGCTTTCAGGATTTTCTCTTTTTTTCCTGAGATTTGCAAGTTTCACTATTATATTATATTATATTATATTATATTATATTATATTATATTATATTATATTATATTATGTTATATTATATTATATGTTGGGGTGTTGACCTATTTTTATTGATTTGAGAGGTGTTCTCTGTGCCTCCTGGATTTAGATGCCTGTTTCCTTCCCCAGATTAGGGAAGAGCTCCAGTATTATTTACTCCAATATAACTTCTGTCCCCCACCTTCCTCTTCTTCTGGGATTCCAATTATTCTAATATTGTTTCACTTTATGGTATCATTTATGCTCGAATTCTCCCCTCATGATCCAGTAGTTGTTTATATCTTTTTTTTTCCTCAGCTTCTTTATTCTCCATCATTTTGTCTTCTATATCACTAATTCTGTCTTCTGCATCATTTATCCTAGCAGTTAGAGCCTTCATTTTTTATTGCATCTCATTAATAGCCTTTTTGATTTTGATTTGATTAGATTTTTGTTCTTTTATATATCCAGAAAGCGATTCTCTAGTGCCTTCTATGCTTTTTTTTTGAAGCCCAGCTAGTATCTTTATAAATTGTTATTCTGAACTCTAGTTCCAATATTTACTTATGTCCATACTGATTAGGTGCCTGGCAGTCAGTAGTGGCTCTTGTTCTCTTTTTTGAGATGAGTTTTTCCATCTTCTCACTCTGTCCAGAGAAGAACAGATAAATGAGAGAACAAAATACTAAAATGGCAACAATGACCCCAGAGAAATATATACGAAACAAGTCAGAAGAGACCCAAAACCGAAAAAAATAAAATAAAATAAAAAAGAATATAATCAGGGTGCCTGGGTGGCTCAGTTGGTTAAGCGACTGCCTTCAGCTCAGGTCATGATCCTCGAGTCCCTGGATCGAGTCCCGCATCGGGCTCTCTGCTCGGGAGGGAGCCTGCTTCTCCCTCTGACCCTCCCCCCTCTCATGTGCTCTCTCTCTCTCTCTCATTCTCTCTGTCTCAAATAAATAAATAAAATCTTTAAATAAAAAAAAAAAGAATATAATCAGACAGGTGAACAGAATAGAGCATTACATTGAACCCTGTGTGTATTTTGGTCTGTTTGTTAGAAAACTAGATCCCAAAATTGTAAAGAAAGAAAAACTTATATGTATATAAAGATAAAATTAAATACAATGAAAGGATAGAATGTAACTGTAAAAATTAAAATTAAAAGACAAAAAAAGAGAGAGGGGGGAAAAAAAGGAATATAAACAGACAGGTGAACAGAGCAGAACAATACACTATATTCTGAGTGTATTTTGGTCAGTTTGTTAGAAGAAACTACATCTTAAAATTGTAAAGAAAGAACAAGTTTTATATATATATATCTATATATATATAAAATTAAGTACATTGAAAGGATATAATGTAAGTGTAAAGATGAAATTTTAAAAAGACTTTAACAAAACAAAACAAAAACAAAAAGAAGAAGAAGAAAAAAGAAAAGAAAAAAATGAGAATATGCAGACAGGTGAAGGGAACAGAGCCCTACACTAGATTCTGGGTGTATTTTGGTCTGTTAGAAGAACCTGCATCCCAAAATTGTAAAGAAAGAAAAAAAATATATATATAATACATATATATATACACATATATATACACACACACAAATAAAATTAAATACAATGAAAAGATAGAATATAATTGTAAAAATGAAAATTTAAAAAATTTTTAAAAAGAGTTGATAAAATAAGAAATTCGTTGAAAAAGGAAAGAGAAAAAAATAAAATTGAAAGACTAAAGAATTGTGGGGGGAAAAAACATGAATTCTATACTACATTCCCCTAGCACTGTAGTTTTGCAATTCTGTGTGATTGGTAAACTTGGTCTTGGCTGGATATCCTTTTGGATCTTCTGGGGAAGGGGCCCATTGCATTGATTATCAAGTGTCTTTGCCCTGAGTGGAATTACACCGCCCTTGCCAGGAGGCCAGTCTAAGTAATCTGCTCTGGATTGCTCTATGTGGCTTTTGTTCCCTTGTGGTCATACTTTAAATCACTCCAAGAGATAATGTGAGTAAATTTCTTAGAAATAAGTATTGAATAAATGAACGCAGTTAGTATTTGAAGGCTTTAAAAGAACCTTGTTCTACTCCATCTCTCTAGTACCTAGCTCAGTGCTTAGTGTGCAGCAACCATCTTAAATAATGAGCTAATGTTAATTAAAAATGAGCTAAATTTGTTATTTGCTTTGTGTCAGGTGTTGTACTAAGCATTTTTGATGGAAAAGCTCATTCCATCTTCACAATATCCCTGGAAATGGACACTATTCTATTATTATCTCAATTTATAGATGGAAAAACTGAAGTATGCATAGAGAAATTAAGTAATTTGTTGGATGTTAACATATAGAGGAGTGTGATAGAGTCTGGAACTGGTTTCAGTCAACTCCAGGGTGTAGCTTTTAACCACCAAAGTGTGGGTCTTGTTATAAATCAAGGCCTCTAAAACTATTTATGTGAAATATTCCTGCCTCTGAAACCTATTATCCTGAAATATTTTGAGAGTGGGAGAAAAATAATACTTGAATTATGAGGTCTGTATCTTGAGGCACTTCTCTCAGATCAAGAATGTTCTAAAAATTCCCAGCCAAACTTTCACAACGGGAAGCATGGGAATTTCTCCCCCACACTCTTCCTTCCTCCACTATTTGATAAAACACACCCACAGCCTCTACTTTCTTCTTCTGTTCTGCACTTTAGGTTTTTCCTTGAAACTTGGATGTTTGGAGGTTCCAAGGCTGAATCCAAGTGTGAAAACCAAAGTAGATGATCTTAAAGGTCATTTCCTGCGCTAATGTTTTGTGATTACAGGAGTCCTTCTTCCTGCCTCCCCATTCTCATAGAAATTATGAACAGGTCTGGTAAATTCATTGTCAACAATGATGCTCTTGACGCTCCTTTTCCCGTCCCTTAGCCATTGTCCTCATTCTACACCAGGTAAGAATAGGATGGAAACACTGTAGCACAGTCTTAACAGGACTGACATCTCCAGTCATTCTTATGTCCCCTGACAACATAACCCTCCAATAATATCCTCTTTGCTTATACCACACCATTGTTAAAATAAAATCCATCAATTGGCTGTGTAGCAGTCCTCATGTGGGGTGCCATGGATTTAGCAGATATCAATAGATAGTTTTTGGAGAATGCAGTCTTAAAAGAAGTTAGGTAGTTTTCTTTACTAATGGAATTTCTTAAGACTTTGATATGCTTATGTGCAATGTGAATCTTTTTGAGGGAGAGATAATGTAACCCAAGAAACTTGCTCTCTTGGGTTTGTTGTGAGCAAGCACAGGTTTCTCGTCACGAAACTGTCTTGAATCATCCATTTGATAGCTGACTCTTCCCTGACACTTCTCACTTGGTGATGAGCTCCTCCTCATTACATTGCACCTTAGCATATGGAAGTCCAGAAAACCACTCCTCAATAGGCAGCTGCTCCGTCTCTCAACCCTCAGCCTCTCCAGAATCACTACTTTAGAATACCAAGCTGTGTGTATACATGTGTACATATATGTAATTTTCTTTACTGAGGGACGGGTAATTTTAAAAAGGAATTGACCCACCAAAGTTTTTAGAGTCACTACTCTGTGTGATACTCTACTGGTAGATAAATGTGATTATACATTTGTTCAAACTCATAGAATATACAACACCAAGAATGAACCCATTGCAAACTGTGGACTTTGGGTGATAATAAGGTGTCAGGGTAGGTTCATCAATCATAACAAATGTACACTCTGGTGGGGGATGTTGATAATGGAGAGGCTGTGCATGTGTGGGGACAGGGGGTATATGGGGATTCTCTGTATCCTCTGCTCAATTTTGCCATGAACCTAACACTGCTCTAAAAAAATAAAATCTATTGAAAAAGAAAAAAGAAAAAAGAAAGCCAAGTACTAAATATAACTTTCCCAGGGTCCAAACATGTGTGTTGACTAAGAAGGCAACCCCTTCCTAGATGGGTCTTCTTTAAATACATCCACAGTTTCTATTCTGACTTCCCTATCCCTGGTTTTGCCCCTCTATCCTTGAGAGCCTTATCTTCTGGATTTCCCCATTGCAACTCTATTCTGGAAAAATCCAACCCTTATCCATTGGGTCCTTCTGGGACTCATTGTGATTTCCCTCATTAAGTCATTTCCCCAGGTACAAGTCCGTGAGTTCAGGGTAGAACCCTGGAGTTTTTATTTGGACAACCAGTGATTTCTTCTGATAAACCAAAGAGCTGCAGAGTGGTTCAGCACGAGGGGGTCTTGGTGCTTCAAGACTCACAGCATCATTCAGTTTGGACATGTGCCCTCCAAGGCAGGGGATTTTCCTAAAGATACCACTTTTTAAAAAGCCCTTTTAGATCTGTTAGAACAGCACATAGCTCACCCTAAAATTATTTTAATTCTTGGGGAGAACACAGTCCCTCTAAACCCTAATGAAAAACAGTGTTTTCTAACTGCTTTGTAGTTTGCCATATAAATTTTCTTCCTTCGAAGGCAATAAATTTCATTATTATGCAGAGTAATGTAATCTTATATTCCTCTGATGCTTTTAGCTTGTATCGCTTTGGATCTGATGGATAAAGAAAGGAGCCAATTGCCTCCAGAAGACTGTTCCCTTGGTCATAAGAGAGAACGTCTGAAGGACCATCCAAGCAAGTAAGTAGTCACGCCCTATGCTGGGCACTAGAAATGGAAACATAAATCATACAAATTTTCTTCTCTGTGACTTGGCTTTAAAAAGGCATTTATCCATTTATTAGTCCATATGTCAAATACATTTTGGGCCAGGTACTACATTGGGTATGAGGACTATTTTTGACGGGGTTCCCTGGGAATATACTGAATATTGTGAACTGTGTGCAGATGGATTCCTGGGGAATATCTGGGGAGATACACCTGAATGAAAGTGAGGATGACAGGATGGGGCAGGGAGAGAAGAAGGTGCTCTATGTGGTTGCAGCTAAGGCCCTGCCCAGTCTTACTGGCAGTGCTGGAGCCAACCCTATAGAGTTGTCCCAAAGAGGAAAGGAGGCCAGGCCTTTGTATGTCAATGTCATCCGGTCATTGGTGGCCCAGTGTCCCTGAGAACAGGCTGTAACTGCAAAGAAGGCAGTATTTTGCAGCCTGGGGCAGTACCCACCTCAGCAAAGGACATGGCTTTGAACCATCAGTTAACAGTATCCCCAGGATCTAGGAGATGGGAAGAAATCTGCATGAGAATACAACATCAACTATTGGGATGTAGCAGGACCAAAGATCCGTTTATGCTCTCAGGGAGTTGATGGTCTAGCTGATGAACCATAAGAGCAATTAGATAAGTAACAGTGCAAATAGCTAAGTACAAGGAGGTGGTAAGCACTATGAAGATGCAGAGCAAGAGTACCTAGCCCGGTCTGAGGGGTCCGCAGAAGGATTCCCAAATGAGGTGATGGTGATGATGAGGTAAGGAATTAGGCATGTGAAGGCAGTGGGTGTGGGAGCTGTTAGAGAGAGCGTCCTCTTGGGGTGAGAACGTGGCTTGGGGGGCCTTACACCACTAGGGTGGCCGGAGTGGAAAGTGCAGGAGTGGTGCAAGCTGGTCAGGCACAGGAATGGAGCGAGGACCTGAACCTAAACACTGGACCTGTAAGAGCCGGGACACCTGGTCCGGCAGCTGGGGGTTTTATCCTGATGATGCTGACATTCACAGGTTCCAGCTGGCAGGTCCATGAGAAAATTCGCACTTCAGGAAGATCATTCTGGCTGCAGTATGGAGAAAGGAATGGAGATAAAAGAGCAACATGAGGGGCCCCTAGGAGTGACCGTGTGGGCTGCGATTTTATTAGTTTCCAATGAGCAATGATAGTGACTTAAAATGGAGGCATGTCAGGTGGGATGGAGAGAAATGGGTGGATTTGAGAGATATTAAGGAAGCAGAATCCATAAGACTTGACTGATTGGATATGGGCCTTTAGGGAAAAAGAGGAGTCAACCTCAGATTTGTCTTTGAACCATAGCAGGCTGGCAGTGGTGTGAAGGATGAATCTGAGAGACTGTCAGCCTGAAACAAGGGAACCAGTTAGAGCCATGATAAACAATGTCGTTTTGTACAGGGACCCATTCAGGGACCAAAAAAAAAAAAAAAAAACAAACCACTGTTTATGACCATACTCATTTCAATCAAATGAAAATAACATTATAGAATTCTATTAAAATAATATATATAATCTTATAATTAAAATTACTTTTCTTAGAAGAATGTCTGTATGAAAGCTGGCCCCACTTCTAGCCACTTAAATATTGATATCTGGGCCCAGTTTAGACAGCGCCATGGAGGCAGCTTGTCATTTTTTGGTTCCTATTCGTGTGGCGCTTTGAACTTCACAGAGAGCATTCTAGAGTGTGCTCCTTTATCCTTGACTCAACCTTGCGGATGGGAATTATTAGGTTTCCAATATGCAGAAGCAGAAACAGAGAAGGACGTGAAATGGCTTCATTGCCATGTGGCCAAGTTGAGTCTAGAATGTTTATTCCGTTGTCTCCCGAGGTTGCAGGCACTACGTGCCAGGCATCGCACGGATGAAATCGATGTGCCGGCTCCCTGCGTCCTTCAGCACCCTGGGCCTCTCGCTCGGCTGGCTGTAGGATTGTCTGTCTGCTTAGGGGCAGAGAGGCTGAGATGGCAGGGACTGCCCTGGTACCAGGAAGCCCGAACAATGCCCGTTTCTCCTGGGGGGTGCTGACCACCTGAGCATTCTCGCTGCCTTACTGAATTTAGGCCACTTCTGGGGTCCCCTGCCCTGGGCCATCCTGTCAGGCAGGCTTCGACTTTCAGTTACTTGGAGCCCAGGGCCGGGGCAAGACAGAGGTGGTTTCTCCAGATGGGGATCCCGTGCTTTGTAGGCTCTGAAAACCTTCCAACCAAGTTGAACTTGGTCTCTGGGTTGTATGTTGTAGCCAAATGAATTAGATGTAGCCGAAAGAGCCTCTCTTCCCAAATCAGTGAGTCTACAACCTCCAGGGTCAGATATCTCTGCCCTTAGCTAGAGCAGGGGTGAGGAGAAGAGGCAAGGGAGAGGGAAGAGAGAGTTGGGGCAGAGAGGACTCTGTTCTGAAACTGTCCCTTCAGGTTGCAGTTGCTGGCCACACAACAGCCTCCTTTTTGTCAGGCGATTGCAGTATCGATGAGAAGGGAGCTTGTGTCTTAATCTGGCAATTTAGAAATTAAAGATGCAATTAAATAGGATTACGGATAAGCTTGAAATAGATTTTCTGAATATAAACACTCACATGTACAGATGCACGCCATTTATTCACTAGTCTCTCCACAAGCACTCTGTAGTCTTTTTTTTCCAGGTTTATTGAGCTATAATTGATGTGTAACATTGTATAAATTTGATGTACAATGTGTTGATTTGATAAACTTATAAATTGCAAAATGATTGCTACCAGAGTGTTAGCTAACACCTCCATCACATTACAGAATTTTTGTGTGTGTGCGGTAAGAACATTTAAGATCTACTATCTTGGTAACTTTCACGAATATAATACAGCATTATTAACTATAGTCCCCATGCTATACATTAAATCCCCCGAACTTATTTGTCTTGTAACTGGAAGTTTGTACCCTTTGACCAACATCCCCTCAATTCCCCTATCTCCCAGCCCCTGGTAACTACCACTCCACTCTCTGTTTCTATGAGTTTAGCTTTTTAAGATTCCATATATAAGTGATATCATTCAGTGTTTGTCTTCCTCTGACTTATTTCACTTAGCATAATGTCCTCAACGTCCATCACTGTTGTCACAAATGGAAGGATTTCCTTCTTTCTCGTGGCTGAATAATGTTCCATTGTGTGTGTGTGTGTGTGTGTGTGTACACATATCTCCATATGTATGATGGACACTGAGTTGTTTCCCTATCTTGGCTGTTGTGAATAATGCTGCAGTGGGCATGGGAAAAACAGTGTGTAGTTTTGATTGCCACGGGTGGTTAGTACAAGGTTTTGGTGTTTTTCATCTTTCTTAGCCTTTACCTCTGAAGCCCACCTCTATCCTGAACTGCCTTTTCTACTTCCAGAGCCTCATAAGGATTGTTTTTGAAGATCAGATTGAGCAGAGACTGCTCTTAGCATTACAAATACTGGTTATAGATAGTCACAGAATGCCTCTCATCTTAGTTGCAAAAGTAATAGTAATAATATAAACAACTACCATGTATGGAACATTCACTATTAACCAAACTCTGAGCTAAGTGCTTTACACACACTAACTCAGTGATATGTTGCGATTCAGTTATAGTACAATATTAGGGTTTTGGGACTTTTATGGCAATGTTAGTCATTGCCACACCTCTTTTTTTCCACTAATTTTATCCAGTTCTTTGAATTGTATACTTTGTGCAGGACTCAAAATGCCAATTTTGCCAATTTTATCTAGACCCTCTGTGAAGTAGAGAAGATGCTTCTTACCTTTTAATACTTTTCACATGAGCACATCAAAATACATTGCCTTCTGGTTGTTTGTTTTTTTTTCCCCATGCTGCCCCTGCTCTTGAGGACCACATCTGACTCCCTAGAATCTCCCTTAAGGCCCTGTCTCAGGCCAAGCAATCTTCCAAAGGCAGCGGTTCTCAATGATTTCTCCCCTCCGACACAATCCAATAGGTATAGGCACATTTTGACAAAACCCCCAACTGAAAGATTTTCTCATAAGGCTGTAGAAGAGTTAAGAGAGGCTGCAGATGACCTATGATTCAGCATGGCCCACTGACCACTCCCTCACTCTGCCCTTTAGGCATATGCAGTGTACGATAATATAACTGGAATAATTTTGAGTGTATTCTAATTTGTTCAGTTTAAAATCAGGTTGCTTTGAATTTTATTGCATAAACACATGATGCAAAAAAAAAAAAAAAGTCACACTTGTATGATAAAGTCCTATGGAGACCTCCAGGAAAAAACTACTGGAAATAAGTGAATTCATCAAGGTCACAGGATACAAGATCAATTTATAAAAATCATTTGTAATTTTATATACTGGCAATAAGCAATCTGAAAATGAGATTTAGAAAATAATTCCATTCACAATAGCACCAGAAGAATAAAATACTTAGAAATAAATTTAACAAAAGGAGAGTGAGACTTGTACACTGAAAATTATAAAACATTGGTGGCAAAAATTAAAAAGGATCTAAATGAATGGAGAAACATTCCATGTTCATGAGTTGGAAGATGTTAATTCTCCTTAATTGCTATCAGAATCCTGAAGGATTTTGCTGCCCCTGTCCTGGGCCATCCTGTTAGCCAGAAGCTGGGCCAGAGTTGGTTTCTCCAGTTGCTGATCTTGGTGCTTTGTAAAGACTGAGAAGTTGTCAGCTGAAATTGGTTTTCCAGTCATATGTGGTAGCCAAAGGTAAGTGAGGCCCCTGTTACCATCCATGGTCAGAGGGGCTCAAAAAGCATCATTAATCAAATGACAGGACAAGCCACAGACTAGCTTGAGAAAAATTTTGCAAATCATGTATTTCATAAAGGACTTATGTCCAGAATATATATTGCACCTCAATAATAAGGCAGACAACCCACTTAATACATGGGCATGGTATTTGAGTAGACTTTTCACTAGAGAAGATATGTGTAGGGCTCACAAGTACATGAAAAGATGCTCAACATCAT